CGCCAGGCCGGGCCCACCCAGCTATCCCCAAATCCCCCTATCCATGTGCAAATCCATCTCGTTGCACTGTATGTATTTTTCTCGGCCCGTGCCCGAGGTGCAAAGTGCTATATATATATATCAATGGAAGAACGAAAGGGAAGAAGGACTGAGGAAGATGCATCAACGTATACTTGAAGCTACAGTAGTACCTACTTAGCTTTGTGGCTCCACGCTGATTCTGACTTTTCGCCCCCCCCGCGTATGACGTCCAACCCCCAACCGTGCCTATTCTCCGGGGTAGCTGGCACAACGTGCCTCTCTAATCACCCATCCATCCCTTCAGCGTCCCAAATATTTGAATTTTCTTTTTTTCAGATATTCCCCATTCATATCAAGATCCTCTGGAATACGACGGAACCCCCTTGGAATCAAGGGAACTTTTTGCAAAAAATCCCGGTTTTGTGATTCCCATTGGCCCGGCGATGGATGCCGGGCCTCCGTGTATGATGCTGGCTGTCGTTGCCGTAGTGGTGCCGCAGCCGGAATGAAGCCGCGAGTGATAGAATCACGGAGGATCCGATGCCGAAGTGGCCACCCCTGTGCCTCGGCTGCGTTCAAAACGCTCTTCTGAGCATTCTGCCGTTTCTGCTTTCGCATTCGCCCTGGCGGCGGCTTCTCTCAGTGCAATTTAAGCTGGCTTCAGTCGTCCGGGGCAACCTTCGGACTGCTACTCAGGCCTCAGGGAGGACAGCTGTGTACCATACACCACACACTTACCTGCATACCTCAAACTGTAGCTGGAATCTACACAATCTTTTTCACTCTGCACAGAAGTTAAAATCGAGACTTGAAGAAAGGACTACTTTTCAACCACACTGGAGGTGTTGTGTAAAGAGAAAAAGTGGAAGTAAAAAAGAGGACCTTGAACAGCCTTTTGTGTGGGTGCCAGGAGTCGAATCTGGTTCTGCTGCCTGCAAGTTTTTAGTCACCCCATTCACTTCATAAAGAAAGGACACAGCTATGTATCATACACTAGCGACTACACCTACTTTCCTACTTACTTTTCATACTCCACATTTTCAAGTCTCTGTACTCAGCGTTCAGTGAGAAGCAAGCATTCATTTTACTCCGACGGATTCATTACATTACTGACCTTTGTTTCGTTCCCTTTCGTTCACCCAGCCTCGCTTCTTACTTGGTTGTTCATATCTGTGTGAAACTCAGCGGCGCCGCGCCGCCGTTCAACTTGGTTGCCCTGTAAGATCCATTTTGTGCGACTTTTACTGACCTTGGCTTCCTTGCAGGTAACGTTGTTGGGACTTGGAATCAACGTTGTTTAAATGGGAATCCAACTCCCCGCGAGGTAAGTACCATCTTCCGAATTAAATTAAATTGAATGCCACAGTCGAGTTTTTGGTAGCGTGCACATCAAATCCAAGCTGCAAAGTCAACACTGACTTGAGTTTGAATTGTATGGGTAAGTATGAATATGCACCTCTCTTTGCTTCAAACTTGAATCCGCGCTGATGCGCGCCGTTCATGTACTTCAAAGGTAAGCTGTCCCGTCCCTTCCCTTGATTCAACTCCTCCCGCGGAATTTCGAGTAACGAGATCCTGGAAGTACTTTGGCAAAAAAGAATATATGTATTCAAAGATTATGTAAAGACGGACATGCGGTGCGGTATGGACTTGGGGAAGGGAGGGAATGGGAAGGGGGAGAAGGGACTGGGTGAATGTGGACATTAAGGGGAGGGAGAGGAGGAGCACCGAGTCGGCGGCGGTGCTGCAACGAGTTTGTGCGAAGCCGAGGGCCAGTTTCGCTTGCAGCAAGAGTCTGTGCGCGCAATACTCGGCAGGAGCTGCGGCGTGCGCGGGGACTCGAGGTGCACACAGACGGAGCACAACATAAACGGCGCGCATCCGGAGTGCCGAATCCGAATGCGAATGCGCGCACCACCTCGCCGTCGAGTTGAGTCCGTGGGAGCTGGGGCATCGGCTCGAATCGGCGGTGTGCGGCGGTGTAAACGAGGCCGGGGACGAGGCCGGGGTCGCGTGCGGTGGCGACAATGAGGGTGTAGGAGGATGCGGGACAATAGTGGAATGAAGGGAGGGAAGAAGGTAAACAGAGAAGGTACGCACCTTCTAATTAACGATAACGCGTTGCTGACGACATTCGCCGCGTAGTGTTACGCCGATGTGGCGCGCAACGTTGGTGTGTGTGGGTGTAGGGTGTAAGTGGGAGTAGGTGAGCAAGGGAGGGAATGGAACAGGTGCGAGTGTACGCACTTTGAACGGAGACCCACGCAAGCTCGTTCCCTCGTTCCCCGGTGTGCAAACCCGCTCGCTGCACGATGTTCCCTTCGTTGTGCTTGTCTCCGCATCCCTCGTTCCCTGTGTTACCATCGTCGGCGGCGTGAGCTTAAGGCGGAATCGGCGTACTGTGAATGAATGAAAGGAAGCTGTAAGTGTGTGAGTATAAGTGAAATGCAATGCAAGCCAATTTGAGCACGTACCGTCAATGCGTGAACGCGCAAGCAAGTCTGTGAAAGGGATGGCATGAAGGAGGGACGGCAGGAGAAGCGGGCCGAAGGTGGTGAGGCTGAAACTCAACCGTGACGCGTGCGGCCGTATGCTTGACCGCGATTGAGTCGGTGGATGCGCGTCGGTCCGGCTGAGGCATGGAGTTAGCGTTGCTGCCTGTGTATCTGTTTGAGAGGAATTGCGTGCACGGGATGGGAATGCGGTGACGTGGAAATCATGAGCAAGGGGGTGGTCTTGTGGGACATTCCCAGATGTACCAAGCCGGTTTAAAAAGAACAAAGAAGGAAGCCGACGGAGGAAGCCCGAGGCGAAGAAAAAAACAGGCGAGTGCGCCAAACGGGGAAAAGTAAAAGTAAAGCAAGGGCATAGCGAGTGAGCAGCAGATCAGCTCCACCCGCACCCAGAGAAAAGAAAGACGAATACGACCACCGCCGGGGGGTCAATCGCGAAACGAAGAGAAATTTTTCGCTCCACACCGAGGCCGTGGTCCGCTACGGCCCTGCGTCTCGAAGCAGGGGGGTCCACCGCACGAAAATAAAATGGCGGCCGCGGGCGCCCAGAGAAAGAAAGAAGTAAAAACGGGGGGAAGACGAGGACGGGACGAGACTGGCTCGTCAACGCGAGGTAGAGCCACCGAGGACGACCGCCCATAATAGAAAAATACAAAAGGAGGAGCGGGCGCAAAGCGAAACACAAGAGCGGGTAAAGCCTACACATCCACCTATGTCCGAAAAAAACGCGTAGATGGAGGGGTGGCAGGCACGTCGCACGCGCACAAGGGCGCCAAGCCGCGGAGTTGTGGTGCCGCCCACACGGCGCACTCACCACAAGCTCCGCACTCCTCGTCGACGCAACAAAACAGCACAGGAAAAAAATCGCAATCGCAAAGGAAGTGAAAGCAAGTGAAATCACGACGACTCACCCTCCTCACACCCCACCTCCGCATGCGCCCTGCTGACGACCTTGCTCTTGAAGGCGATCTTGGAGCCGTTGAGGGCGTTGACGGCCGGAGCGGTCTGTGAAGCGGCCTGGCGTGGGTGTTAGTATACAATTCATCAAGGCGAGAACGGAAAGCGGGTGAAAGGAAAGAGAAACGAAGTGAGAGGTGGAGCACAGGGGATTGGGGAAGCAAAGCACGGCGTACGCGGACGCACGACGGTGCCGCCCAAAAGACGGGGGAGAAAAACCCAAGCGCAGAAACCAATTTTAATAAACGACAAGAAAAAAGCACGCACCGATCCGCAACGCCGGATCCAACGGCACAGGCCTCAAATCGTGGCTGATAGGGTCGAAGCGCAGACTGCGCCGCGAGTCGAGATGCGGGACCAGGCGGATGCGGTGCGTTTGCCCTCCTCCACCACCACTCGTATTCCCACCAGAAGCAGCAGGAGGCCTCGTCCGGCTCGCCGTAATAGGCAGCGTCGGCGTCGGGGGCACCCCGCCCGGGGCGGGCGTAGCCACATTCCCCGCACTCCTTCTCCTTCTCAACATATGGCTCAGATTCAATCCTCCACCGGAGGATTGGTTCGACGGCGAGGGTGCGACGACGACGGCGGGCGGGGCGGGCCGGCGGCGATTGCTCCCTCCTCCATTTCCTCCACCCCCATTACTGTTTCCATTTCCACCTTGCTGTTGTGCGGCGTTGGAGAAGGGCGCGCCCGAAGTGCTGCTGAACGCCGGTATGCCCAGCCCGCTAGCAGCGACGCTAGCCGCATTTGCATTGGCGCGCTCGCGGGCATCACGGGCATCGCGCTCGTGCACAGCGAGGCCTGCAAAGGGGTTCATCGCGCCCAAACCGTGGTGGGCATGTGGCGAGCCGTGCGATGGCGGGGAGGGCGAGCGATTGAGTGCGGGGACATCGATGTGGGACTGGGAGGAGTTGCGGGGGCGGCCGCGGCCGAGGAAGGAGCCGAGGATGCCGCCGGTGGAGGTGGAGGTGGCGGGGGCAGCCGTGAGTCGGAGGTGGGCGAGTCCACCTTGGGGCAAGCTAAACTAGGTTATTATCTTGAGCCACTGGGTGACTAGTTCAATCCAATCCACACAAGGCACAGTAGAAGTACGAGTCAAGCCACAGAAGAGTACAAGAGGCGGAGTGAGATGGACGACGATGATGGCGGGCGTTGGGGTGTGAGCGTGACAAGTCACAACAACAGATGGGAGGAAGCCTAAAAGGGTTGATTATCACCAGGAGCCTCAGTGAGGTCCGTGTCACTGGACCGGGAGACGTGAGGGGTATTTAATTGAGGTATGTGTTTTTTTCGAGTTTCATCCTTTTTGGTTGACTCGTTTGTTTTGGCAGCGCCGACAGCAGCGGGTCTCCGACGTGTAGGCATCTGTGAACGTGCAGGGACGCACCATTTTCGCTGTCAATGTGTATGCGTTCCTTCACTCCTTTGATTTTCTTGATCATCTATGCTGCCCACCAAATTTGTGGGGAAAGATAAATAAATAAAAAAACGTACTGCGGGTCCAGGCCATGCGGATGCCAGGAATCGAACCTGGTTCCTGCTGTCTGCAAGCGTCGGGACCTCGAACGGAGACAGCTGTGTACCATACACCACACCCGCTTTCCTACCTACATTTAACCCTTGGCTTGCCATCACACATTTTGGACCCAGTCAACAACGAAGATTGTTTTCGCGATCGATGAAGGCTCTCAATCATGGAACCAGTCCTGCCAGTCCTGTTACATCGAAAGCATGACCCACCCACTTCTCCTTCCCCGTCTCAAGGCACACCGAGAGAGCCAGTTTGTGTGGGAGGTAAAAAAAAGCAACATCAGGCGAACTTAGGTGGGTGCCAGGAATCGAACCTGGTTCTGCTGTATGCAAACATCTCCTTTGCCTGAGTAAGAGGGACAGCTGTGCACTATACACCACACCCACTTTCCTGCCTCATTTAAAACCTTGCTTAAGCACCTGATATTTTTCACCGAGTCAACAACAAAAAATTTCGCCCCAATCAATGAAGGCTCTTGATCATAGAACCAGTCTGAGTCTTACCAGCAAAAGTCTTGCATGATCTATCCACTTCTCCTTCCTTGTTTCAATAATAGGTAAGTAGGTTAAAAAAATTGTGCTATAAACACAAGTAATGTGGGTACCAGGAATCGAACCTGGTTTTGCGTAAACATCTCCTTTTCCTGAGTAACAGGGACAGCCGTGTACCATACACCACACCCGCTTTCCTAACTAAGTACTTCCAAGCCTTGGCTAAGCACCACATATTTTCCACTCGGTCAACAAATAATTGTTTTCGCGATCAATGAGAGCTCTCGATCATGGACCAAGTCCTACCAGTGTTATGTTGAAGATTAGACCCACCCACTTCTCCTTTCCCGTTTCAATACCCCGCAAAAGAGCCGGTCCGTTGGGGAGGTAAAAAAGAATATGTCGCATGATGCATGTGGGTGCCGGGAATCGAACCTGGTTCTGCTGCCTGCAAACATTTTCCCTCGCATGCCAAGGTGGACAGCTGTGTACCATACACCACACTGGCTTTCCTGCCTACTTTCAACCTCATTTAAGCCCTGCACAATTTTCCACTCTGCAGAAAGCTGAACTTAGGGGCATATGAAGAAGCGGAAGGGTAAGCATAATTTTTGATGCATAAAAGCTGAACTTTCAGAGACTCATCAAGTGGAAGGTAAATCAACCACGCACTTTAGCGCACTCATTTCCGGGACAACGACCATCCTTGAATTCAATCATAAAAAAATTGGTTCACCAATTGACTATGCGGATGCCAGGAATCGAACCCGGTTCTGCTGCCTGCAACCATTTTTAGCACCTAAAGAGGACAGCCGTGTACCATACACCACACCCGCTTTCCTGCATAATTGCAACCTCGGTTAGACATCACATATTTTGGACCCAGTCAACGAGGATTTTCTTTCCCACCAAAATTATGGAGCAAGTCCTGCCGGTGTTATGTTGAATTGAAGGCATGACCCTGCCACCTCCTTCCACATTTCAAGGTGCACCGAAAGAGCCGGTCAGTGCGGGAGGTGAAAAGAATTCCCACAGTACCACCGATGTGGGTGCCAGGAATCGAACCTGATTCTGCTGCCTATAAACATTTTTTCTACGCAACCCCAAGGACGACAGCCATGTACCATACACCACACCCGCTTTCCTACCTACTTACAACCTTGGTTAGGTGTCATATATTTTTTCCCCAGCTAATCAAGATTAAGCAGTATTCAAGTGGTTCCACTTAGTGAAAGCTCTCAATCATGGACCAAGTCCTGTTACATTAAAACCATGACCCACCCACTTCTCCTTCCACATTTCAGGACACGATGAACGAGCTGCCGGTTGGTCACGGTGCGGGCAGTGAACAAAACACTCTCTTCATGGGCCATGTGGGTGCCAGGAATTGAACCTGGTTCTGCTGACTCGATGTCTCTATGATCCCCACAAGGAGGACAGCTGTGTACCATACACCTGCTTTCCTGCCTGTTTCCAGCCTTGACTAGCGATAACATTTTTTCCCCTAGTTGATGAACATTTTATTCCCGATAATGCAGAACCAGTCCTATCAGCATTACATTGAAAGCCAATCACTTCTCCTTCAACATTTCAGGACACAAACCGGTGAATGTGGGTGGTAAAAGAAAAGCATTGGCCACCGATCATGTGGGTGCCAGGGATCGAACCCGGTTCTGCGGCCTACAGACATTTGTATCCGCTTGCACCAAGGGGGACAGCTGTGGACCATACACCACACCCGCTTTCCTGCCTACATTCATGCCTTGGCCAGGCACTCTACATTTTTCTGATGATTTTGCAATTCTGGTCATCATGGTTCTCCAGTCCTGTTTTTTGCCCATCCTTGACGGTGGATACTAAGTACACAGTAAAAAAATCACCACAAGACTTGATTCCAAAATACAAATGGGGAGCGTTTAGGTGGGTGCCAGGAATCGAACCCGGTTCTGCTGCCTACAAGTTCTTTCCAACTCACCAAAGGGCGGCAGCTGTGGACCATACACCACACCGACTTTCCTGCCTCCTTCCAAAGCTGCTTAAACCCCTGCACGATTTCATATTACTCTGGACAAAAGCTCAAATAAGTAGAGCAAGTGGCAGATATTCAAACATAATTTGTTCCGTGAAGAGAGAGAACAAAGTGTGGATGTTCCTGATCTAACATAAAGACATATGCCTTCAGTGAAGTGGGGGGAAAATGGAGTTGACGAGACCTGTTATGTGGGTGCCAGGAACCGAACCTGGTTCCTGCTGCAACATACTGTGGATGTTGCACCACGGAGGACAGTCATGTACCATACACTACACCCACTTTCCTTGCTACTTCCAAGCCTTCACTAGGTGCTCCTCCTTTTTCTAATAGTTTTACTCTCTGATCATCATGTCACACAGATTTTTTCCAGTCCCGTTACACTGGCACTAGAATCCATTTCACCCATACATAGAGGTGTATGCTAGGGGACGCACGGAAAAAATCGTGCCAATAAATTTAATTGGGGGAAAAACGTGACAGATAAAGACTGATGTGGGTGCCAGGAATCGAACCCGGTTCTGCTGCCTACAAGCTTGCAAAGTTCCAATCAATGGTGGGCGGCCGTGTACCATACACCACACCCACTTTCCTATCTGCTTCCAAGCCATAGCTTGGCACCACATATTTCTTCCTATGTTGAAGATTAGACCCACCCACTTCTCCTTCCTCCTCTCAAGGTGCACCGAAAGAGCTGGTCATGTGGGAGGTGAAAAAAAACGCTGTTCAGGACAAATTATGTGGGTGCCAGGAATTGAACCTGGTCTGCTGCCTGCAAATTTCACATTCGCCTCAACCACAGAAGGCAGCTGTGTACCATACACTACACCAACTTTCCTACATACTTGCAATCTTTGGTTACACATCACATATTTCCAGCCAAAAACAAAGATTTTTTTCACGATTTGAAGGCTTTCAACCATGGACCAAGTTCTGCCAGTCCTGCTTTTATGAAAGCATAACCCACCCCCTGTTTCCTTCCCTGTCTGAGGGCACACTGAAAGAGCCGGTTCATGTGGACTCTCACCAGCGAAAGTCGGTCTCTTGTATGATCTACCCACTCCTCCTTCCCAGTCAAAGGCAAACCGAGAGAGCTGGTCCGTGTGAGAGGCAAAAAAACAACAACACTTGGACGAAATTATGTGGGTGCCAGGAATCGAACCTGGTTCTGCTGTCTGCAAACTCTTCTGTCTCCGGCTTAAGGAGGACAGCCAGGTACCATACACTACACCCACTTTCCTGCCTCCTTCAAAGCCTTGGCTAGCTATCGCATATTTTCCCCTCAGTCAACCAATATTCTATTTTCTCTCAATGATGGAATCAATCGGAGTCCTGCCAGTGTTATGTTGAATTCAACCCATCCACTTATCCTTCCAGTTCTACATTTCAGGACACAATGAACGAGCTGCCGATCGGTGTGGGCAGTAAAAAAACCAAAAACCCCTAAGGACGAATTATGTGGGTGCTAGGAATCAAGCTTTGTTCTACTGTGTCGCATCCAGCCGCCTAAAGTCAGACAGCTATGTACCACATACGTTGAAAGCATGACCCACCCACTGTTCCTTCTCCTTCCTGTTTCCGAGCACAAGAACATACTTGGTACGGAGGCAAAAGGGATCCGGACATTCTCAAACATGTGGGTGCCAGGGATTGAACCCGGTTCCGCTGTTTGCAAATTGACACACCAGGTCGCTGAAGGTCAGACAGCTATGTAGCATACACCACACCCACTTTCCTGCATACTTCAAATGCTGCTTAACCCCTGCGCATCTTCTTTCATGCTGCACAAAGCTCAAATTGCAACCCATCAAGTGGAAGCATTGAATAATTTCAATCATATGCCTTGCGATGTCTGAAAATTGAAATGTAGATGTTCCAAGCCTTATTCAGCATTTAAGCATTTCACATGGGCCACTCGATCTGAATCAGATCACTAAGTGAATAATTAAAGCCTCCTTGGCTGAGGAGAATCGGCTAAAGAATGGCACTGATTTGGTGGTACATAGTGAATGACACGGGTATTACCGCGGGTGTCTCCGGCTTCTACCGTACCCGTGACCCGTGACACCGTACCCGTTATGAAACGGGTACGGTGTCACGGGTATGGAACCGCGGTAGACCCTACCGACCCGCGGGTTGCAGTACCGCGGTATACCGCCAATTAACCGCGGTATTAACCGCGGGTACCAGGAACATTTCAGCCAAAATTTTCCTTTTTTTTTTTCGAGAAATTCTCGGCGCCATTAAGCAGAAGGTATCGTCGGACCCATGGGTTGTTAAATCAAATGGCTTTGCAGGAGAGTCAAGTGAGTACAAATATAATGCATGGTAGGGATTTCAGTAACCCTATCAGGTTTGTTTAAACAATGGGCTTTGCAACCGCAAACAGCGTTTAAACTTTGATTACATCCAGTTTAAACAGAGCGTTGAACAGATTTAAACAGACCCAAAAAGGGAGACCGTGAAAAGGCTCGAACACACGCGAGAACACCCAGCGAAATTACATGAATTTCTCATGAAGAAAGGGCGCTACCTCTGCACCATAACGATGATGGTCAGTTTGACTACACAGTGATCACAGTCCCTTAACACAGACCACCTCTTCACGTAGTTTTGACAGTAAGATTTAATTCTGACAGTCTGACTAGATAAGTCACCTGCTTTGATAGACGGCCCACGTATGTATGTACGTATATGTATGCATCTGGAACACAAGGTTTACGTAGCAGAATTCTCGAATAGGTGCTTTTCCAACTGATCGCGAACCTTGATCCAATGTGATTGAAGACAATTTACGGTAAAGTACTTATACGAAGCCGTTGGAGATTTCAACAAAGATCTGGAGTGGACCTTGAATATCAGGCTGCACCATTGACATGTGAGCTGGGAGTGCGGATTCTGGAACAGTGAATCTTCGCATGTTTTTTTTTGCGCAAATTGGGGGGGTTAAGTGAGCATTGTCCCAGAGCTCCCCATTGTTCTCCTGGTGCAACGGTCGACCTAGACTTCGCCTTCCCCACTCCCTGTGTTGTGTAATTAGAACTCTCTGTCTTGTATGTTCGACTCTGGACGGTTGCACTTTTTGTCTGTTCAAGTCTGTTCAAGTCGGTTCAAACACGGATTAAACACTCCGTTTAAACAATCCGTTTAATTTGTGTTGAACGTGGACCATTGAACCGCTGATCAACAGAATCTTCTGGCTCTCCTGCTCTCCTCTCTGCGTTGTTAATCAAAGTTTAAACTCTGTTTGCGGTTGCAAAGCCCATTGTTTAAACAAAGCTAATTTAGATTTATGGGATTTCTATCTGTTAGGATCCTTTTCTGTACTCTACAAACTACCTCCTTCACGGCCCAGCCAACCTGGTAATTAATCTCGCTGTCTTCACGTTCAAGCTCGCCGGATTCGAGCTGGAGTGAAGGTTAGTGTCGGCATTTCGTAGGAAGAGGGGTTAAGAGAAGAGGGAACACCACCGAAGAGCGAAAACAATCACTCTACCAAGAGCGGGTCGGCGAAGCTGCCATAGTAACATCGCCCGAGAAGACGTGCAGATACACGCACACGAATGTGAGTTCATCCACCACATGGACAACAACGACCCGGGCATAGTCTCCGCCCCAAGTCAACACGCTCGACTGACACGCAACTGCGCAGCTCGTCACGCCCGGCACGGCTCGCCTGCCCACACACAACGACCAATGCGCGACACCACCACTGCGCCTAAACAGCGTAACCACGACCCACGCGCGCGCGTTCTGCCCCACCCGCGCAGACTGGCACTCCTCTGCAATGCATCCTTGTCCGCCGCCAGTATACAGGGACCCCATTGACAACGTGATCAGCGCAACGCCCTGCCGAACTCTTTCTTACTTGCATACGGCCTCCATCACCTCCACGACAACAGCTAGAGAGGTACGCACCGCCTCCTCATCAGGCATAACCGGCGGCGAGAAAAAGTTGAAGAAGGACGGGGTGGGGTGGGACTTGCGAATGAGGCGGGTGTGATTGGTGTCTGCAGGATAAAGAGGCGGATTAGTATTGTGGAAGAATAGAGCAAGCCTGGAGCAACGACGGGAGGGGAATACATTGCGCTCGCAGCGACATCATGCTTGTAAGCTGTGCAAAGAACCTGGATTGCCCAGAGAACGAAACGCGCCCGATTGCGCGTGGTCACCACCATATCGCCTCCGTGAGACGCTCCGCGCACTCCCTCCTTGGTGAACGATACACCATTGCCGCTGGGCACACGAAACACGCCCCTGAACTCCCTCCGCCCGTAAAAGGCCGTCGTGAAGCTCTCCGCACAAAAGAACAGGAAAGGTGCGCTCCAAAAAAAACGTAAGAGAATGGAGGGGCAAGGAACGCACTCTTATTCCGCTGTTTCTTGATCTCCCACTCGCGCGTGAGGTCTTGCTCCTCCTTCCACGTAATGGGTGATCCGATGGCGCGGTCGTAGGTGAAGTCGCCGGCGTAGCCAACCTATGAAATATCAGCATTGCGAAGAGAGAATGAAGGGGAGAGGGAGGAGGAGAAAGGAGGGTGGGGAACGTGAGGTCATAACAACGTTCCGAAATGATAGTAGGCCGAGCATAGAACGAGAAGAAAACGCAAACGCACCTCCTCGTTATAGATGTACGTCTTGGTCAGTGTCTCGTTCGTGAAGAATGGCCGCGGCGAAGGTGATGGTGAAGCCGGGCTCCCGGCGTAGGGGCCTATAGAACGCTGGGGTTAGTAACAGATTGGTGGGGATGAGGGGGAAGAGGAGGGAAAGGGAAAGGTGTCTGTGCAGCCCGAAGAACATGGCCATATCAGACAGTGAGTAGCACGCCTACGCCGTACATAGATTGACGGGTGCGCGCAGCACCCGCGGTCCGTCCAATCGCATCGCATCGCCACCATCCCGCCACCGAGAACAATGTGGGCAGGCAGTGGTAGCACAAGACAACGCGGGCGGGCGGGCGCAACGAGGAGCAGAGCTCCCTCGCGAGTATGGGCTGAGTGCGGGTGCTCCCGCAAGCAAGGAAAGAAACCGAACAAAACGACTCACCTCCCTCCTTCTCCAAATACTCCAGCGTCACGTCCTTGAGGTACCCGAGCGCCTCGGCGTCGCGCTCCGTGACGATCTCTGCGAGGCCAGGATGGTTGCGCTCCGTGATGAGCTCTGCGGGGCCAGGATGGTTGCGGAGCGCTGTGACCCAGAAGGTCGGGATACCTTTGACGTCTTTGGCAGGTTTAGCTATGGGAAAAGGAAGAGGGCAGTGAGTATTGGATAAGAGAAGACGGCAAGGAAAGAAGGGTCAAGCGGGCGCCGACAGCGACGACAGAGTCGCAGCCCAACGCCCTTCAAAGCGTTCCCGTCCGCGCGCGGAATCGAAACAAAAACGAAGCCCAAAAACTGTAACTCACCCTCCTCCTCATCCTCGCGCAGCTTCCTAATGGGTTCATACTCTTCGTCCTCCTTTAGGCCCGCCGCCTCACCCGCGGCGATCTCGTCCTGTGTGGCCTCTGCGGACTCGGAGATGAAGGCGTGGCGCCGGGCGTAGAGGGGTTTTTGGAGGGAGAGGTACTGCGGGGAAATCAAGTTAGCGTTGGGTATTCAATACGACATTAGAAAAGTAAAGGGATTTGAAGGTGAGGTAAGGAGATCGCGCTAGACGAAGGCAAACGACGGTGCGGACGAAGATCGCGCGCGTCTCGTGCGCCCCGCTGTTATCATCCGCCAACATAAGCCAGCGGCGTGACTGAAAACCCAGCTGCATGACACCTGACATTAGGACAAGAAACCGCGCACGACGAGACCCGTAGAATCCGACGTCAACGGACATCGCGACGCGA